AAAAGGGGGAAAAACCACGAGGCCTAGCCCATTTCGAACGAATCCACTAGTATTTGTAGTCGATTACAAATGAGGCCCTTCCTTGGTGGAAGTTCTTAGCTTGATGTACATCTTATGGAGTACATTACATGATGTAAATACAAAGAGCTACTATCGACGTATTCGCTTTGTTAGAAGGACTGTAGTCGGCGGGCGACGTAAGTCAGGAGGACCGTAATCGGCGGGCGACGGAGGTCGGAAGGACTGTAGTCGGCGGGCGACATAAGTCAGGAGGACCGTATTCAACGGGCGACGGATGTCGGAAAGACTGTAGTCGACGGGCGACGTAAGTCAGGAGGACCGTAGTCGGCTAGCGACGGAGGTCGGAAGGACTGTAGTCTAACGACGAAGATCAGTAGGATAGCGTCAAGTAGAAGTCCAACAATGGAAAGAAATGCATCTTCGCATAGACGTCCAGCGAAGTCCGATAACCCGTAGAAGTCCGGCGTCGGGTAAAAACTTGGCGGAGAGCAAAGGTTAGACGTCGGGTAGAAGTCCGACGTCTGTTGGTGGCAGATGAGAACTCCGGCTTCACTTGGGCGTAGTTTTGGTGTTAAGAGGGAACTCTGTTGTTAATTGGGAAGGATTCAGCATCACGTGGAACTTGTGCAGAATTCCTGCGTTTCCTGAAAGTCCGGCAGAGTTCCGGCGTCTTCAGGCGGCAGGAAGAGCTCCGGCGGTGGTCGAGAAGGTGAGGAATCTCCTTTTCCCCTTTCTCCTCTTCTTCTTCTCTCTCTTCACTTGAGTCCCTTTGGTGTAGAATGAGGGCTCTATTTATAATTTTTCTAGAGTGGCATAGCCCGTAAATAGGCGCGAGATCATGGGCGAATTAGGAGTGTTTTGAATGGATGGCCGATATCGAATCCTTTGATCATGCACTGTTCGTTGGGCATTTGAAGGCCTTAATGATGTTGGAATTCGGCGATCTTGGGCTCGTTGGATTCGTTTCGTCGAGACGCTCGATTCGAGAATAAGCTCGTCAAAATCGGAGACCATTTGGTAACTCAAATTGCAGATTGAACCTCCCAATAGCACTTTGAGCCCTTGATTCGGACTCATTTGGGCTCGGATTGGGTTGATCTTGGTGTCGTTGGGTTCGTATTTCCGAGACGCTTAGTTTTACTGTAAGTTTGCTGAAATCGGAGTTCATGTGCTCCCGGATTTAATTTTTAAAGTTTCCAACTTGATTTTTCCTCGAGATTCATGCCCAATCAAGATAATTTCAGGATGACGTATCAATGTTCTAGTTGATTTTATTTTTTTTTTTTTTGAAAAAAAAAATAATTTTTAACATTTAAATTTAAAATCATAAAGCGTTTGCTAAATATTAAAAAAAAAAAAACGATTGCAGATCCATTGAAAATAGAATTCTTACAAAGTAAGGCAAATGGACAGTTTTGTAATTTTTAGTTCGAATTTGATAAAACATATCAGGAGCACGTTAACCCTCCGTCGTTTTCCTCACCCACACCATACCCGCAGCGGGGGCCGAAGCCCTCACCGTACCACCGCCTCGCCACCGTCTGTCATCTCCACCCCTTGAAATCCTTCCGCCTCGCCGATTACCGCCGCTGGAGATCGAAAGATCCGCCACTTTGCGGCGAATCTCCTCTGTACGATATTCCCGCGCAATCTGAAACCCCTTCCGCTTCTCCTCTTTTCTCTTTCCCGCGATCTCCACCATTGAGTCGGACTCGTTCGCTGGAATCCGAGATCTCGCGGATTGTCGCTTCTTTGACCTCCTCCGGCCCTTGATGGCCGGCGATATCTCAGATTTTGCGTCGATCGCCTTCTCCGCCTTCCCTTGATTCGCATTGAATTCATTCGCCTTATTCGCCTTCCCTTCGTTCGCATTGAAGCCATTCGCCTTCCCTTCGTTCGCCAGATTTCTCTGCTTCCATCCTCCGCCTGCGCCATTTTTTTGCCCTTGAGAATGGGAGATCCAAAGATCCGCCACTGTGCGGTGAATCGCCTCTGCACGATCTTCCCGCGCAATCTGAAACCCCCTCCGCTCCTTCTCTTTTCTCTTACCCGCGATCTCCTCCATTGAGTCCGACTCGCTCGCTGGAATCCGAGATCTCGCGGATTGTCGCTTCTTTGACCTCCTCCGGCCTTTGATGGCCGTCGATGTCTCTGATTTCGCGTCGATCGCCTTCTCCGCCTTTCCTTCATTCGCATTGAATTCGTTCGCCTTCTTCGCCTTCCCTTCATTCGCCAGATTTCTCTGCTCCCATTCTCCACCTGCGCGTTTCTTTTGCCCTTGAGAATGGGAGGCTGGCGCAGTGGGAGAAGAGTAAGATTTTCTCGCGGAGCGTGTACGGTTTTCGGATTTGGCTTGATGATTCTTCGCTTCCGCTTCCTTGTGTGCTTTTTTGGTCTCTTCTTCAGCTCGGAGCCTGCGAAGCTTCTCTTCGTTTTCTTCGTCCTGCTTGCGTTTGATCCATCTTTCTTGAAGATCCTTCAAGGTCACGTAGTTCGCCGGAAAGGACGAAAAAGTTCCTTCCATCTCCGCCTCCGTCTCTCTCTCCCTCTCGGCAAATTATTGGGTCAGGTGACCGAAGCCATCTCTCCGTTCGGTCGCCAATAAAAATGCGCCATCTGTCAGTCGTTTTTTTAATTTAATATTAACGCTTTATGTCTTGTCAGAGTTAGCGACCCGACCCGATAACGCTATTCATTTGAACTTTTAAGCTTTTGCCGCCCTATTTTTTCATTTTGAGACCCGCGAAAGACGCAAATATGTGCTGCTGTAGAAGAAAAAACGAGCCAGAAAATTGCAGAGAAGAAATGGACTGCTCAGTGAAGAGGGAGGTGGAAGAGGGAGTGCATGAATCGGAAAGGATGCATGAATCGGAAGGGCTGGTGCATGAATCGGAATCGGAACATGTGCATGAATCGGAATCGGAACCTAACTTAGCCGGAAATTCCTCTGGTTTCAACATTTCGGTAAGTATCTTGGAAAAACGAGTTAGAAAGTTGTTTGTGAGCAGAATAAATTTCTTAAGCAGAAAGTTGACGTAGGTTTCAGCTCATTATTCTTAAGATTTTTGATTTTGCGATTTTTAAGCAGAATAAATTCTTTTGTCGAAAAAGTAAAAAATAAAAAAATCTAATGTTGTTGTTGTTGCTTAGCATTCATTATTGATTTCTAGGATGAAGATGATAAATAAAAGAATGCGCTATAGTTGCGCTATAGTTGCGCTATAGTTGCGCTATAGTTGCGCTATAGTTGCGCTATAGTTGCGCTATAGTTGCGCTATAGTTGCGCTATAGTTGCGCTATACTTGCGCTATACTTGCCCTTTACTTGCGCTATACTTGCCCTTTCAGGCTGTATACAAAGATGAGACAGAAGCATATGAATGTTTTTGCACTTATGCTCACGATAATGGCTTTAGTGTCCGAAAGGATCATCACAGTTTTTGGCCAAATTCTAGGAAGATAAAATCGAAGGACTTTGTTTGTTCAAAAGCTGGTTTCAAAAAAAGTGACGATCATAATTCAGGGAAGAGGAAGAGATTCATTAGACCAGTTGTCAGAACTGGTTGTCCAGCCATGGTGAGGTTTGTCACTGATGAAGACGGTTACTGGCATGTCAAAAGATTTATTGAATCCCACAACCATGAATTAGCTAGCCCAGCCGACCGACACCTTTTAAGATCATGTAGGAATGTTATTGAGGAAAAAGCTTCCGTCCTAAAATCGATGACAAATGCAGGGATTAGAACCGTTGATGCATATGCCTACCTTGCAGAGGAAGTTGGTGGATGTGAGAATGTCGGATTCTCTAAGAGGGACGCCTACAATTTGATTCAGAAGGAGAAAAGAGCAAGGATTGAAATTGGTGACACTAATTCTTTGATTCAATTATTTAAAGATCGACAAGTTGAGGACCACATGTTTGCATGGGATGTTCAATATGATGATCAGGATAGATTGTTAAATTTTTTCTGGGTTGATGGCAGAAGCAGGATAGATTATGAATGTTTTGGAGATGTGTTAATTTTTGATACTAGTTACAGGCTGAACAAGTATAATTTTGTTTGTGCGCCATTTGTTGGTGTTAACAATCATTGGCAGAATATTTTGTTTGGGGTTGCTTTTTTGTCAGAAGAAACAATTGAAAGTTTTACATGGTTGTTTAAAGTATTTGTACGAATAATGGGTAATAAATATCCAACAACAATATTCACTGATCAGGACCAAGCTATGGCCAGGGCCATAGAAGCTGCATTACCTCACACTCGTCATAGATTATGCCAATGGCACATATTTAAAAAGGTTCCATCAAAAGTTTCCATCTACAATAGCAATAATAAAGTTAGAGGACTCTTCCATAAGTGTATGAGGTGGTGTGATTCTGAGGAAGTGTTTGAGGAAGCGTGGAATGAAATGATCAAGGAAGGGAATCTTCATAATCATGAATGGTTGCAGGATCTTTATAAGATAAGGAGAAAGTGGTCAACTGCTTTCAACAAGGATTCCTTTTGCATGGGCATTTTATCAACGCAGCGTAGTGAGTGTACTAATAATGTGTGTCATGGCATTTCAAAGCCAACAAGTTCATTAACTGATTGCTTTCTTGGCTTGGAAAAGGTACTGATGAATTGGCGGCGAAATGAGCAAGATGAGGATTACAAATGCAGTCAATCTGAAATTGTTCCCGTGATAAAGAACAGCTCAATATTAAAACAAGCTGCTAGATATTACTCAAGAAGAATATATTCAATTTTTGAGGAAGAATTTATAAAGGCTGTGGGAGAAATGAGTATAGATTTTGTCTCGACTGATTCTTCAAAGTATATAGTCAACTACATAGAGAAAAAGAATCAAAACCATCCTTGGGTTGTTCACTTTGATGCAACAGAAGGTAACATTCAATGCAGCTGTAAGAAGTATGAAACCATGGGATTGCTGTGTTCTCATTGTTTGAGGGTTTTTAAACAGTTGGATATGGCTAAATTCCCTGAGAAGTACTTATTACTTCGTTGGTCAGCAAGGGCTCGACAAGTTTTTTATTCAGGTTACTTCCTTAATTCTCAAAGAAGTAATAATTTCCAAAGTGGTAGGGGATTCATATTCAGAAATCAGGTGAGCAGGTTTGCATATCAAATGAGCACGGAAGCTCAAGGGAATGAAGAGGCAGAGGAGTTTATTCTTTCCTCATTGCAAGACATGTATAAAAAATTATACCTAATTCTTGGTGGCAAGAAAAGAAATCAGAAGGATGTTGCTAGTTCCCAAGGTGGAACTGCAAATTTGAAAGATCCTCTAAAGCGTAGACCTAAAGGCATATCAAATGCAAGACTGAAAAGCCATTGGTGATCATCAACGAGATGTAAATGGATTATAGAACTTTTCTTTTTGGGATATTTAGGTCAAATAAGATAAACTCACACGCATATCAAATAAATAAGTTTGATAGCTCTCCTTAGTCTCTTGGTTGAGACTTGGGATATTTGGCTGTCAACTAAGAGGTCTCATCAAGTTTTCAGTCTTATGTTTGTGATGTGTGTATCAGTTTATCTTAGGTTTTGTTTGGGCGACTTTTGTACTGTTTCTTATAGGCAACTTTCTAGTAGAAAATTTTAATTTTTTATACTAAAAAATTGCTTTGAGAAACAGTAAGAAAGGCGTCTCAAACCAAGCCTTAATTGACCTAAATGTCCAAAAAATAAAAAATGCAAACTTTGAATCCAAAATATCTTAGTTGGTAGCCTATAACTGTTAAATATTAAAATTAAAATAAATTTAATTTTAATATTAAAATTAAAATATCCAAAAATTGCTCGGTATATTAAAAAAAATTATTTTTTAATATTTTTCGTAATTTGTTATTTTAATTTTAAAATGCACAAAAAATATAAAATATTTTTTGTGCATTTTAAAATTAAAATAACAAATTACGAAAAATATTAAAAAAATAATTTTAAAATAACTTTAAAAAAGATCTAAGATTGTGTGCTGACTCGTTGACGTATATAATTTTATATTTTTATTTCTCCGTAAAGCACTAAATTTTCTGATGAGTTTAGATTACAAAACGATGTGGGATTGAAAACATAAAAAAATAAAGAAAAGTTGGCCTGCCTAACAATGGAGAAGTAATTATTGCTGGTTTTTTTGACAAAATACAGTTCTATTGTGCTTTAATAACCGAAGAAGAATATTGTTATGTGGATATATAACGGTCATGCGCTGTGTTTGAATTTCCATGCCAAAGTAACCTTTGTTTAGGGAACTTTTATTAGGTCCGGTGTAAGGACGTAGAGGAAGGTCCGGTTGAAGGTAAAATCCCGCGAAAATACTCGGTATTTGCTCGGTATTGCTAGGTATTATTTGATAATAACGAGGAATACCTCCTTGTGAAGACCAATACCGAGTTATACCGAGCAATACTGAGTTGTACCGAGTTTTTCCTTGGAAAAACTCGGTACAACTTTTGTATAACTCGGTATAGCTCGGTATAACTCGGTATTGAGTCTTCACGTGATGGTATTCCTCGTTATTGTTTGGTATTGCTCGGTATTTCTCATTTTTTGGCGCGATTTGGCCTCCGACCGGACCTAGCTCCGACCGGACGTTCCTCTAGGTCCGGTCGGAAGACGTAATAATTGTTCTTGTTTAGGGGCTCTTTTGGTTGGTTGAAAAATAAATACAATTTAAAAAAAAAATGTAAGGGATTATATAATTTGGGTGTTTGATTTGGTGAAAAAAGATTATAGCATGAGTTTTCAATGAATTAGTTTTTTACTCAGTTTTTTTTTAATGTATTATTGTAGCTGTATTCTGAAACATTTACGACGGTACTAAGATATAGAGTTTTGTGTATAAGCTTTGTACAAAGATCTAGCACACACACAGATAAGAGAGATGAGTGCAATGATCATAAGAGACGCTATAAATATTATGTGAAAAATCCTAAAAATGAGCAAAATCTTAGGGTCATGCCTAGTAGTTCTTAGGTCTTTCGTAAGAGCATCCCTCACAGTATACCAAAGTGTAGGTAAGTTTTTAATAATCATAGTGAACTATATATAATGATAATATAGATGTCTCTAATACCTCAGACTTATTATTTATCACCACATTATTTAAGGTTGAATGCCTTCAATATTGCCATGTTTTTATTATGTCATTATCTTGGTACTAATTCTATTTCCTTATTACTTGCAAATATAATGAATTTTGTAGTTATAATTTAATTTCTCCATGTTTGGTCTATACTAGATAAGGTGACAGATACTTGAGAATTTTGATTTATCTAAGTAGCTCTTGCATAAGATGATCGATGGAAAAGAAGTCAACAGAGAATAGAGCGCCAAAGAGCTCTAGATTCGGCACCACAACTCTGCGAGTTTGAAAACTGCAGTAAACAACTTAGAATGAAAAAAAAAAAAAGAGAGAATACTTACTTAGGATAGCAGGATAGAAGGGAGCAAAGAAAATAAGCAAATTTATATGACAAAATGCCAATAAACTGTGTCTGACTTTAAAACTTCATCAACTACAACACAAATTCAAAATAATTAATAGAATTATAGTTCTTTAGCATTTAAGTAAAGATCAAATAATAGGTTCCAGCATCTCTTGCAAGCGAATATACATACATCATCAGCATATTCAAAATTTTCAATTAATCATGTTACAACCAAGGATTAACCAATAAACTATAAAGTGAAAAACCATAGTAGCAGTAAAGAACTGCTTGAATTGGCTATACAAGTTTGAAAGGATTATCTCCCTCTCTTACAGGACCCAAAACATAAGTATAAATAGATGGACAAGCATCAATGAACTAACAAAAGCATAAAACATCTAATAATCAAAGACCGCTGAAAAGGATAGACAACTGAAGTACTAAATTGATAGCAAAGACCATTGGAAGGAGTTGAAAGCGGAATGATCATTCCATAGACAAGTTGAGTTGAGCTTTCGGCCATGAGCGAACTTTTTCAAACTTGAGTCTCCTGCTTTCAATCTTAGCAAGATGTTTCTTCCCACTAATATGCGAGTCATAAACAACTTTACTGTTGGAAACAACATCACAAAGAGCACATACCATTATGGCCTCTTCGGCAGCATCTCCTTGAACAACCTTATCCTACTTGGTCTGCAAATCCTCTTTAATTGAAGATGGTTTCTTCACCGCTTCCACATTTGTATTTTGATATTGGTCATATGAATTATTTTTCTTAGAAGTAGCAGATGGCTCCGGAGTAATTTTTTCTTGCAATTTTTGTAGATTTGCCTTGTGTTTTTTTCCCATTTGTGAGTGTTGAAGGTCTTTTGTTTGTTACATTCAATCTTATAAAATTCACAATAAAAGTTTTCACCTAACTTTTCGGCATGTTTTTCTCCTGCAATGTGTGAGGCAAATGCTATAGCACTGTTGCAAAAATACCAATAATCAGTTTGAAAACAGATCCCTTACTTTTTTCGAATTCTCTTTTAAGACACCAAACTTTTTTGTGAGCTTTCAATGTCATAAACATTTCTCTGCTCTGCATTTAAAGGTCAATGGAAAACGCATAGCGTTCAGTATCTTCCTCGAGCTCCTCAATGGAATCAAGTACTCGAACAACTTCTGTGATAGTAAATGATTTGTTCAGTGCAACAGTAGCTTTGCTTCTAACGGTAGCAGCATCAACTAATTGCTGAATCTGTGTCTGAAGCATTTGAGCCTGAAGCATTTGCTCTTGAAGCATAGGCACTCCTGCTGCAGCAGACATTCCAGAATTGGGACAAATATTTTAATTTGCTTCTGTTCCCATTTCCTTCAGATGATGGTTAGGAGGCACTCTTTGAACCACTGTAAGATTGTCGAAGCTCATTTACTATTTTGGCATCTCCAGATAAAGATTTGGTGCTTTCACAGTCTTCAAAATCTTCGTGGTCTTCGTCGGTTGTGACAGGAGGTAAAGATTTAGAATTGGGAGCCCAAGCATTCTCATCACTCATGAACATCTTATCCAGCTTTTCTTCCATCTCAGCGTCGATGCCACTGTACCTGAACTTTTTTGGCAGAGGGAAACTCCTAATACAGAAGCACTGGCTAATGTTGAGGAGATATGAAGTCATACCTTACAAGATGCATTTACAGTATTTAAACAAATATGAAAAAAATTATACCTCGATTTTTCCTTTCCACCATTCATCAGAGGCATCAATAGTTTTCTGCTTTGAATTCCAACCAAATCCAGCAGCACCCTTCTTCAAATCCTTCCATAGCTTCCACTCTTTTTTCAGTTGATCCCATTTGTTTTTCAATTGCAACAGTGCTATTGCATTTGCCTCACAGCAGGAGAAAAACATGCCAAAAAGTCAGGTGAAAACTTTTATTGTGATTTTTGTAAGAATGAATGTAACAGCTAAGAGCCATTCAACAATCACAAAATGGGGAAAAAACACTAGGCAAATCTACAAAAACTGCAAGAAAAAATTACTTTGGAGCCAACTGCTACTTTTAAGAAAAATATTTCATATAGCCAATATCAAACTACAAATGTGGAAGCGGTGAAGAAATCATCTTCAACTAAAGAAGATTTGCAGACCAAGAAGGATAAGGTTGTTCAAGGAGGTGCTGATGAAGAGGCTATAATGGTATGTGCTCTTTGTGATGTTGTTTGCAACACTAAAGCTGTTTATGACTCCTATATTAGTGGGAAGAAACATCTTGCTAAAATTGAAAGCATGAGACTCAAGTTTGAACAAGTTCGCTCATGGCCGAAGGCTCAACCCAACTTATCTATGGAATGAAATGATCATTCTGCTTTCAGCTTGAAAATCTCGTTTATATAGAATTTTCTAGTACGGAAGCTGCTACCTACTCTCACTAAAGCTGTGTAATATGTCGGGCTATCTTCTTCTTCTTCTTATTATTATTATTATTCTTATTCTTATTACTGTAATCTGTCTTTCAAAGCAAAAGCTCGTGTATTTAAAAGATTTTCTTACATGATATTTATTACAGCTGGGAAAGGCCACTTTCAGTTGGCTAGCTGGTGCTTCCCAACTGAGAAAGGGACCAACTGGCCACATAAGAAGATTTTATTTATTTAAATTTTTTTGGGATCATCAGAGTCATAAAAGATAATTTTACTCACACATCATATATACAAACTTCTAACCCAAAGCTCCCAACCAATATAACAAGATGAACTACAAGAAGAAGCTTTTATAGATGTAGGTGCCATCTTTTTTGGTAATTAAGGCTTTGGTTGAATAACTTTCTTAATGCTTTGCTTTTCAAATCTTAACCATAATTTTTTTTACTATAGTTTTTCGCTGCTTTTGAGAATTTCTGTGCTAAGAATTTTCTTTATAAAGCATCTTTAAAAAAAAATTATTTTCACCACAATAGTTTCCTGCTGTGGACAACACTAATATTGTTGTTTGATCACTGATTTGGGCTAGGATTACTTGTGAACATAAGTATTTCCAATCAAATTGGTATCAGAGCAGAAGACATACAGGAGATTAGCAGCGGAGCTCTATTGGAAGGGGATGCATAAAGATGTGGAGGAGCTAGTAGCGAGGTGTGAAGTGTGCCGAAGAAACAAATATATAACCATGGCCCAAGGAGAATTTATATATAATGATTAAATAGATTTGGTGAAAAAATATTATAGCATGAGTATTCAATGAATTAGGTTTTTACTCAGTTTTTTTTAATGTATTATTGTTGTTGTGTTCTGAAACATGCACGGCGGTACTAAGATATAGAGTTTTGTGTATAAGCTTTGTACAAAGATCTGTCACACACGCAGATAAGAGAGATGAGTGCAATGATCATAAGAGACGCCATAAATTTTATGTGAAAAATCCTAAAAATGGGCAAAATCTCGGGGTCATGCCTAGCAATTATGAGGTCTTTCGTAAGAGCATCCCTCACAGTATACCAAAGTGTAGGTAAATTTTTAATAATAATGATAATTTATATATAATGATTATATAGATGTCTCTAATACCTTAGAGTGATTATTTATCACCACATTATTTAAGGTTGAAGGCCTTCAATGTTTTCATGTTTTTATTATGTCATTATCTTGTTACTAATTCTATTGCCTTATTACTTGCAAATATAATAAATTTGGTAGTTATAATTTAATTTCTCGATGTTTGGTCTATACTAGATAAGGTAACAGATACTTGAGAATTTTGATTTATGTAAGTAGCTCTTCCATAAGATGATCGATGGCAAAGAATTCATTAAATGAAATATTTTTTGGGTGTAGAACGATGGGCTATTAGGACTATTTGATATTTTTTCTTAGATTCTATATGGTTTTATTTGTTTTATGACACCAACTTAATTATGTACCAAAAATCTCGATTGGATTTTAAATGAATGAAATTTATGAAAATTGTTGCCTCCAAGAGTTTTCGCGGCGGTAGATAAATATAAAGTTTAACGTCTTAGGGTTGTACGAAAATCCGGCACGCAATCAGATAAGAAAATGTGTGTAGCTTTTATAGAAGACACCAATATTTTTATGTGGAAAACCCCTGAAAAAGGGGAAAAAATCACAGGGCCTAGCCCAGTTTGAATGAATCCACTAGTATAACTGTTGATTACAAATGAGGCTCTTCATTGGGAGAAGGCATTAGCTTGATGTATATTTTATAGAGTACATTACATGTTGGGAATACAAAGGGTCACTGTTGACGCATTCGCTTTGTTGGAAGGACTGTAGTCAGTGGGCGACGGAAGTCAGGAGGACCGTAGTCAGCTGGTGACGGAGGTCGGAAAGACTGTAGTCGGCGGGAGACATAAGTCAGGAGGACCATAGTCGGCGGGCGACGGAGATCGGAAAGACTGTAGTCGGCAGGCGACGTAAAGTCAGGAGAACCGTAGTCGGTTGGCGATGGAGGTTGAAAGGACTGTGTCTGACGATGAAGGTCAGAAGGAAGACGTCAGGTAGAAGTTCAACAATGGAAAGAAATCCATCTTTGGATAGACGTCTAGTGAAAGTTCGATAACCGGTAGAAGTCCGGTGTCTGGTAGAAACTTGGCGAAGAGTGAAGGTCCGGCGTCGGGTAGAAGTCCAACGTCTGTTGGTGGCCGAGGAGAACTTCGACTTCACTTGGGCAAAGTTTCAGCGTCAGGAAGGAACTCTGTCGTTAATTGGATAAAATTTCAGCATCCCGTGGAAGTTAGGCAGAATTCTGGCGTCATTTGGAGTTCAGGCGGAACTCCGGCGGTGGTCGAGGAGTCTCTTCCTTCCTATTCTTCTCTTCTTCTTCTCCTCCTTCTTCTTGCTTCGGTCCTTTGCTTCGGCCTCTTCTCATGAGAAATGAGGGGTCTATTTATAGATTTTATGGAGTGACATAGCTTGTAAATAGGTGTGAGATCAGGGACAAATAGGGAGTGGTCGAATGGACGGTTGATATTGAACCCCTTGATCGTGCATTGTTTATCAGACATTTGAAGGTCTTAGTGATGTCGCAATTCTGCGATCTTGGGCTCGTTGAATTTGTCTCGTCGAGCCGTTCGATTCGACTATAAGCTCGTTAAAATCGGAGACCGTTTGGTAACTCAAATTGCGGTATAAACTTTCCAACAGCACTTCGGGTATTTGATTTGGGCTCAGATTGAGTTGAATTTGGTGTCGTTGGGTTCGTATTTTCGAGATGCTCAGTTTGACTATAAGTTTGCTGAAATCAGAGTTCATGTGATCCCGATTTTAAATTTTGAAGTTTTCGGGTTGGTTTTGCATCAAGATTCGTGTCCGATCAAGATAATTTTCTAATGACATATCAAATATAAAAACGGATTATTTCTCATGTGTGGAATGTGATGATTGTGTTGATCAATTGAGTTATTTTGTTGCCTCGAATCTCAAGTTTGTCATGTTTGCTGGGGGTGTAGGGGGTTTAAATTTTTTTTTCCCATACAACACTCTCGTGTTGTGTTCCCGAGCACCCCAACACTGAAAGACAAAGAACAGAGCGCCAAAGAGCTCTAGATTTGCCACCACAGTGTTGCTAGTTTGAAAAATGCAGAGCATCAGACAAAGGTTTGTGTGCTGCAAGTCAGACTGGACAGTTTTCTTTCTCGTTTTTCAAAAGGATTGCATCCCTTGGGTTTCTTTGCTTGGCCTTCTCTTGTATTTTTGAATGTTAGAATAGAGAACAATGCATGTGAGAATAGAAGCAAGGCGAGATCGAGAGAGAAGAGAGATCTATAATTATTTCTCATCCTTTTAATAATATATTTTCTTGATGTTATTTGGCTCCATGGTTTTTTCACATTAAATCCTAGTGTCATTTATTTTTTCACTGCTTTTACTTTTTTGCTTGTTTCATCATTGTAGTACTGTTTGCTCCTCCTCATCCCCCAAATTATTTTATTTCTTGTTTCTTACTTTTATTTTTTGTATCATTTGTAAGGAAAATGAAGATGTTGGATAGGGAAAAATCTTATGGATAAATAATTTTATAGTACAAAAATTTTAATTTTCATACTAAAAGAAGCTTTAAGTAGAAAGAAAGCCGTCCCAAATAAAGCCTAAGTCATGAATCATGAATAGGACAACTTAAACAGCTCCATGCGCTCTTGATATGAAGACTTGACCTGCACGAACCAACAAGTATTTGGAGTCATGACAATGGACACCTTTTTTTTTATGTGCAACTAAACCCACACACATTAGGTTAGCTTACAAATTTATCATCCTTAGCAGCTATGAGCTTATCAAATAAGCCCATGCATCTTGCTAACATCGACATTGAAAAGTTGTCAATCCCCTTATTAATGCAAAATAATAAAATATTATCTCCAATATGTTACAGCATCTCCAACTTATGCAAGTACTGTTCTCTCCACCCTATCTTGGAAACGTCAATCCATTATTATCGTTGCATTTATGAGCAGATTCATGATTTAGCCTAATAGAATATTCAAGTTGAGACATTATGAGGTGCAAATAAGTTGAGTTGAGCTCGAGCTGGAGATGTTCGACTCGAGCTCAACAATCAAATACCGAGTTCAAGTTTGAGCTCAAAAGACGAGCTCGAGCTCAACTCGTCTCACATCGAGCGGCTTGTCGAGAGCCGTCCCGAACAAGTTAGTAGTCGCGACCTACGTCTTCATGAGCTCCATCGTCGCCAGTTCGACCTCCATTGTCACCATCCCGGCCTCTGTTGTCACCCTCCCTAGCTCCGTCGTCGACCTTATCGAGCTCCGTCATCATGGTCCTGAGCATTGTCGTCGCCCTCCCAAACTCCGTCTTCGACCTTATCGAGCTCTGCGTCACCGTCCCGAACACTGTCATTGCCCTCCCGACTTCCGTCATTGACATGCCGGCCTACATCGTTGACCTCCCGAGCTCTCTCGTCACCCTCCCGACCTCCGTCGTCGACATCCCGGCCTCCGTCGTCGCCTCCCGGCCCAAATCGAGTCTCCGATTCATTTTCCCGCCCGGCCTCAATGAGTTGCTTGGCTAGCTTGAGCTCGATAAGTCGTCGAGCCTCTTACCTAGTCGAGCTCGAGTGAGCTCACGAGCCGGCTTGACTCGGTTGCACTCCTAGTGGCGAACAAAAGCAAATCAGTGCAAATGAGCTCTGTTCTGTTTGAAAAAATGTACTTTTTTATAATGATGGTTGTTAAATTATCATGAAAAAATATTTTAGTCATTTTATCTATAAAATTAGTCTTTATTATAGAATTTTTATAAAAAAAATAATAAAAAAACATGAGAAGTATTCTATGATGCTTGGAATATTTTTTTGTGAGAACTGTAAATAGCCGTACATTCAACGAAACTAGCTCTGAAGACAAATGAGCTAATTTTATCTTCTCAAGTACATGACTTTTCTGAAGGACTCGCTCTCCTCAGGTGTTTACTACTCCGCCTATCATCATCATCATCATCATCAGGGGCGGAGCCAGAATATTTTTCATGTGGAGGCACAAATTATTAAATTTAAGAAAACACTTAATCTTTTTAATTCAGACTTATTACCAGCATTGACGGTTTTAAAATATCTTCTCACAAATATAAACACTTTAGCAGTGTAATATTCTAACGAAGAATAAATTTATATCTATACTACTATTATAAAAGGGGCTTGAGTTTCCACCCATAGCAAATCTTGACCATTCATTTTATTTGTTTTTAAATTATCTTGTCCCTTCATTGTATTATAAATCATAACTAAATTAAAAAAGAATACATATGTACTTTAATGCCCCTTAAATACACTTTATACTAAATTAATTTTAATTCTTCTAAATGCTTTAGTTTCCCTCCGTTTCAGTATTTAAGCTAAGTTTTCGTCAGTTTCCAAATGAATTAAAGTTACTAATGATCATAATTTTATTTTCTAGCAATTAATACGGTTTCGGTTTTGGAATTTAACTTGCCAGTTTCGGGCTTATATGAGAGTTTGCTCAATTCATATTATATAATGCGAAGTGGAAGCGGAAACATTTCTAGCGACTTGTCAAAATAAATGGATGTGGAAACATCTTAGTTGTAGGGGTCAAACACAATTGAGGTTGAGTGAGTTTTCTTTGATCTTAACTTCAAGTTGAGTCAATAATGATCTATTTGGGCTCGGATTGGGTTGAATTTGGTGTCGTTGGGTTCGTATTTCTGAGACGCTCAGTTTGATTGTAAACTCGCTGAAATCGGAGTTCGGGTACTTCCGGATTTAATTTTTTGAAGTTTCCGGTTTGATTTTTTCCTCGAGATTCGTGCCCGGTCAAGATTATTTCATGATGATGCATCAAATTGTTCAGAAGATAAAATATTAAATTGAAATAATTTTTTTTTTACAATTTTAAAACATCATGAAATATTTACAAAAATGTAATCTCAAATCTGTATTTAAAAAACATGGCTAAAATTTTCAAAAATTAATGTGAGGACTATATGGACTCTTATTTCAATAATATTATAGTAATAATAACATTGAGCATGACTAATTTAGTTAAATGTTTACCCTTATGCAGTACATTGGTTATCTTGTGATTTAATAATCAATATTCCATAACCAAAAATAAGATAAAAGGTTTTTATGATTCATCTATTAGCTTGTTGTCAAAATAAGTGGATGTGGAAATATCTTAGTTATAGGGGTCAAACACAATTGAGGTTGAGTGAGTTTTCTTTGATCTTAACTTCAAGTTGAGTCAATAATGATCCATTCCGAATTAAGTTTCGAGCTAATTGGAATAAAAATTTATATTATTTCTCATTGCCTCAAAATTTATATTGAATATTTGGTTTGTATAAGAAAATGTTTAGCCTTAAAACATTTTTTTTTAAAGAAGAAAAAAATAGCCATCATATTAAAGGGTGTTTGTTATTGTAATTAGTCTCCATAAAACTATAGGCACAAGCAAATTGTTCTTACTTCCAGTACAACTGGAAAGTTACACATCAAGCCAAACAGCTAGCCAAATTGAAGGATAAGGCAACAGCAATGAGCTCGAAAATAGCTTAAACCGCTCGTGCGGCAGTAGCTTCGACGACCTGAGCAGATTTTATGAAGTCTAGAACAAGAGAAGCCTGATGTTCTTGGTGTGCAGTATAGCAATGGTCAGCACCTTCAATGATATGAAGCTTGTTGTTGGGTATTATTAATACAGTAATTAGTTATTCCCGTAAGCCTATTAAGGCTATACACGTGTCTCATCTTTGTAATCAACTGTATATAAATACTGATACTCTGTACTCTGCAAAGACAGAAAAACATAATACAATATTTCATCCTCTTCCTTTTCCATGCTCTGTTTTCTTGTTTGAGAAGGAACGATGAGTTCAAAGAACTCTACAGGTATTAGTTTGTCAAACTCAAAGGCATCTTCTGAAGGTACAATTTCATCTGTTGAGGGCATCTCCAACGGAGAACTTCATTTTTCACGCCAAAATACCGCAAAACTCAAAAATGGCGTTGTTTTGCTCCAATCGAACGCCATTTTTTTGCTTCTGTGCGAAGGTAACGATCCTTCTCATTTGAGTCTTTGATGCGTTTTTCCGGTTGAGAGAGCAAAATAGCGTTCGGCTGGACTGTTCACCCGCAGGCAAATGGCGACGTTTTGATGTTCGGCTGGAGCGACCGAACGACGCCAAACGCTCGTTTGGCATTAGGTTGGAGATGGTTTGAACGATGTATAGTCAAGACCCTGCATTCTTTATCAATGGCATGGCATGGTGGACGCATATCTGTGCTTAGACGATCCATTAAGGTCTCTTCAGTAACCCGAAACTCAACTTTTCCTGTTCTATCCTTGACATCAATAAAGCCATCTTTCTTTATTCTTTTCCGGTTGAGAGAGCAAAATACATCATTATGCATAGATGCATAAAAAAAGCACCACATTTCCGCCTTTACTATACCCACTAATAGCACAAATTTTGAAGTTTATTAAATATCATGATACAAATTTTTTTCTGTTATTATGTCCCTATATTTATGTTCATATTTGGATAATAAATTACTTGCTCCTAAAATAAAACAATCCTAAAAATTATAATAAAGAGAAAAATTGCACATAATTGGCTCACTTATTTGCCTGTCATGTGAGCTGAAATATTACCTATTATATTGACTAAAGCTGGTTTAAAAACATTCAAAAAAAGGGTCTCAAGCAAAGCCTAAGACTTCGATTAGGACAATTTTATTATTGTTTTGCTTTTCAAATCGTAATCACGACTTCAATTTATCCAATGCTTAAGTTTTTATACTAGAAATATATTTTATATAGTAGCTTTCAAAAAAATAATTTTTTTCACAACAATTTTATCAACATCTTTCTAAAAAATTACATCCCTCCCAAATAAATCCTAAGGCTTCATTTGGGACAGCTTTTTTATTACTTCTTAAAGAAGCTTTCTAGTACAAATTATTTAAATTTGGTAATAGAAAGCTGTTTTAAGAATTAGTAAAAAACTGTTCCAAACGAAATGGGCCTGACTTTTTTTTGCTACTTTAAAACAGTTTTATAAAATTTTTATACTAAAAAATTATTAAAAAAAAAAGCAAAAACGCCGTAATCTCAACCGTCCTTCACACGTGTAACAATTTCAAGCTTCAAATACTTTCTCTAAAAATTAAGAAAAAATATAAAGCAGAGAAAATAATAGGAAACGCTTAGATTCCGAGCTCAGCAATGCTTTGCAGAGTTGGCTTCCACTGGCTTTGTCCGCACACGCTGCTGTTAGTTCATCCTCCATTACAAGTAATGCTGGGCCCCACACGATGCACCTACAAAAGCAATTCTCATCATCAGCCGTTCATCCGAGATCAAACGGCAGGCCATTCATGTTCTAGTGGAAGGTAAATCAGTTCGGTATAACGTGGAATATTGAGAGAAGTAAATGTTCAAAATAATTTCATTTTTATTTAAATCATTCATTTATCAAATTGAATATAAAATAATTTATCTTTTTATATAACACACTTAAATTACAAAATTTATATGAATTTAAATATATTATATTTAGATAAATTAATATTAATGATATTTTTGATGTAATATTATAAACTAATATATTATATGAATTGTTATTAAAAATTTATGTTCTAAATATTTAAAATTCCAAGATATACAATCATACGTATGCAATTTCACCTATAAAATACATTTAAATATATTATACAAATTATATAACATATACATATTTGTTATGTAAATATATATATTTATTAGTATAAATATATATAACAATAAATAAGCATTAACATAATTTATATATTTATACACATATTTTTTTCAAGATAATATATATACATCTCATAATAAAATATTTGAATAATCAATAATAATTTTGATCATTATCTCTTTATATATATAAATCAAATATCTTCAGATAAATTTCTTGTTTGATTCATTAAAATAAATAAATTTGTAAGAAAAAGATGAATTTAAACTAGTTTTTAGTCTATCACAATAGAATATTAAAAATAAAAATAAAATTGGGCACCCACACATGGATTAGATTATTATTATTATAATTAAATTAAATTATATATGAATCAACATAAAATATTTTATAAATTTAGAGTATCAAATAATTAACTTGACTATTAATTAATAATATCACAATTTGAAAAAAAAATTTATAATTAGCAATTCAAATAATTATGCCATATAAGTTAGGTTATTAAAACATTAAGGCAATTAAGTTATAATTCTAAAAAATACTATGACGTTAATTATTACCGCATTTACAACTTAGGACAAAAACTTATTATTATTTATAAATATTTTAAAAATCTTATCTCATTCCTTTAAAGGAAAAAAAAGGCAAGAATTTTCATAGCACTATTCTCCACTTTGTGAGAGACGACGAGCTTTACCATTTCCGGCGAACTATTACCCACTTCGTCGGCGCCACCCTCCCTCGTCTTTCGCTCCTCCCTCTCCTTCCGCCTCTGAATAATCCGGCTCAGCCTCACCCTCTTCTTCGAACCGAACTCCCTCAACACCTCTGCAAAAAAACCGGCTACCACCATCGATTCAATCCAAAACGTGAAAAAGGAACAAACTTTGAAGAAATATTCAAACCTTCGAAGCTGACGAGGCGGTAATCTTGACCAATATGGAGGCTATCGTCTGCTCCGCCGCCGCCGGAGCAAGTGACGGCGGCGACGTAGTAGCCGGGATTGGTGGACATAACGTGGCTATTCATCACCATCGTCGAAAAAGAACCAATCTCTTTTCTTGCCTTTTGATGCAGAGACCTCATAGTATAGTTTGGAGGAAAAGAAGAAGAGAATTATTGAAGGAGGTGCGTCAGAGGATGAAGTAAAAGTACGTATAATAATTATTCAACGTAGTTTGCAATAGTGCTATAGCATTTGACTCATCAAATGTGGAAATAACACAAAGCAAAAACACAAAAACTGAAAGAAAAAATGACTACAGAGCCATCTGCTACTTCTAAACAAAAACTATATGTTCTTCACATTTGTAGTTTGATATTGGCCATATAAAATATTTTTCTTAGAAGTAGCAGGTGGCTCCGGAGTAATTTTTTTTTGCAATTTTTGTAGATTTGCCTGTGTTTTTTTTCCCCATTTTGTGAGCGTAGAAGGCCTAGCTTCTTCGCCTTCAATTCCTTCCCATTGAAGCCATTCGCCTTCCCTTCGTTCGCCAGATTTCTCTGCTTCCATCCTCCGCCTGCGCCATTTTTTTGCCCTTGAGAATGGGAGATCCAAAGATCCGCCACTGTGCGGTGAATCTCCTCTGCACGATCTTCTCGGGCAATCTGAAACCCCCTTCGCTCCTTCTCTTTTCTCTTACCCGCGATCTCCTCCATTGAGTCGAACTCGCTCGCTGGATTCCGAGATCTCGCGGATTGTGGCTCGCTGGATAAGTATATATATTAAAAGCCTTCATACTCAATGAAAGACAACAGTAATCTGTCAATATTCATAGAGAAGCCTGATGAGCCTGAGGGTGAGAAAATACAAGATTACCCTTAAGCTGATCTATTTGAACGATGAGGATTTACAGCCGTAAAGAGTAACATAAAGGCAAGTGGAGCAGAGTAGTTTTAAACTTTAATTATGAAGATAAGTAACTAGCTGTAGAAGCAGACTTTTGCAGGGATGCACTGTTACATACATTCAATGAAATTAGCTCTGAAGACAAATGAGCTAATTTTATCTTTTCAAGTACATGACTTTTACACAGCTCATTTTGGCCTGTTGGTTGAGAGCTTATGCTATCAACAAAGAGGTATTGGGTTCGAATCTTTGTGTATACGTTGAAGGACTTCTCTGCTCTCTTTAGCTTGCTCTCCTCTCGCCCATTAATTATCATCATGATCCTCATCACGTCGAAGAAGGCACGGCTGTATTGCTGTGGAAAGTGGGTTGGCCGGGCGGCTTCATTTCAGCAAGCTGAAATAAAAATAAGATCCGCTCAACTATTTTTAGTTTAGAGAAAAAGAAGAATAAAATTATTTAAGGAGGTGGGTCAGCGGATGAAATAAAAATTTGTAAAATATACAAGTTTGCTAATGGCCGAAAGCTCAACTAAACTTTTTCGTGGTATGATCATTCTGCTTTCAACTCCTTACGTGGAGTGATCAACTTGTTCGTGGAGTGATCATTCCACAAACAAGTTTAGTTGAGCTTTCGGCCATCATCCGTTGACGCAACTCCTTAAATAATTTTCTTCTTTTTTTTCTCCAAACTAAAAATAGTTGAGCGGATCTTCATTTTTCTTTCAGCTTGCTGAAATGAAGCCGCTGCTAGGATCGGAGCTGGGGTTGGGGCTGTACGAGCGTTTGAGCGCAGCGTAGAGTTGGTGGCTTATATGAATATCAAAATTAAATAAAAAGAGCTTATATGGACTTCTAGATAATTATTATTTTAATAATATTATTATCATTATATTTAAATAGAATTAAACCGGTTAATTATATTTAAAAAAACTAATTGTTTCAGTTTAATAATATAAAATTTTGTAATTTAAATATTAAAATTCAGTTTATATATTATGAATTTAAGTTAGAATTTAAATGCTTATTTAAAAATTTATTGTTAATTTAAGATTAAAAAAATGTTATATTTTAAAAGAATAGAAAACATTTTTGAATGACTTTAAACATTATATAAAACATTTTAGATTATGGGATAACTGTAAGAAAACCAACTGAAGGAAAAAAATGCAGTAGAAGAAGAAGACGAAGGTGATGGAAGAAGAATAAAAACAGAACAAAATTATAGAGAAGAAAAACCACACTTCTTGTCTTCCACTTCTTTCACGGGAGTGTAGAAGACGATGGAGGCATAGAGAACTACCGAACTCAAGAACATAAGCAGAAGAAGAAACAGAGAATAGAGAAAGTTAATCTATCTTATTCATGATACAGTATAGTCTATTTATAGATACAGTTAATACAATTTTCAGTTATGACTCAGGATAAGAATAAGCTTAACATATCACATATCATTTTAGTCTTTGATCTGTAGTCTTTTGTATAAGCTCTCATACTCCCCGGCAAGCCGACGGGTTAGGAACAGCCGTCAGTTTGAGAAATTCCACTAGTGTTTTGCAAATTACAAATGGCTGATTCGTCCCACAAATCGGGGTAATCAGGTTACAATTCGTTTCTTCAAGCAAGTTTACAAAGTTTTGCAAAATCTCAGCGTTTCCCGAAAATCCGGCAGAGTTCCGGCGTATTCAGGCGGCGGAAAGAGCTTCGGCGGTGATCGAGGAGGAGAGGATTCTCCTTTTCCCTTTTCTTCTCTTCTTCTCTTCTTCTCTCTCTCCACTTCAGTCCCCCTTGTGAAGAATGAGGGCTATATTTATATTTTTTTGGAGTGGCATAGCCCGTAAATAGGTGTGAGATCAAGAGCGAATTGAGAGTGGTTTGAATGGACGGCCAATATTGAATCTTTTGATCATGCACTATTTGTTGGACATTTGAAGGCCTTAATGATGTCGGAATTTGACCATCTTGGGCTCGTTGGATTTGTCTCGTCGAGTCGCTCGATTCAAGTATAAGCTCGTTAAAATCGGAGACCGTTTGTTAACTCAAATTGCGGTTTGAACGTTCCAACAGCGCTTCGGGTCCTTGATTCGGACCCATTTGGGCTTGGATTGGGTCGAATTTGGTTTCGTTGGGTTCGTATTTCCGAGACGCTCAATTTGACTATAAGCTCGCTGAAATCGTAGTTCGAATGCACTTGATTTTAATTTTTGAAGTTTCCGAATAGATTTTGCCTCGAGATTCGTGCTTGATCAAGATAATTATATGAGAATACATCAAGATTCTAACCACACCACATAATGATGAATTGAACACATAATATTACCTTAAAAACTAGCATTGGCCGAGTAGTTTGATCCATAATTTAGGTTATAAAGCAGCTCCCTTCGACCTTGACCGCCCATCATATAACCGAATTGATGAACAAGAGATTGTAACCGCTCATCACTATCGCGTCTAACTCACGAGAGCATCTTCTTCGGACCTTCTTAAGCATCTCCTTTGAGGGTGTGAATCCTGCATCAACCTGGCAGTGACAATGAATTATTACATGTGATGAAAATGGAATAAAATTAGTATTAAGATGGAGGAATTATTATGTGTGGTCATCGAACCATCCGGGGGCAAATCAGGATGCGCCACGTCACCATATACACAGCAAAAAAGTAACATGATGCATCCTGATTCGCCTTTGGACAGTATTCGGTGACCGCACGTAATAATTTCTCATTGAGATGAGTTGTACTTCAATCAGATTTATTTTGAGATGACTGTAATATGAATTTTTATTTATTCATCATGTATTGCACTCATCTCAAATAAATCTAATGGATATACTCTCCCTCTTTATCCAAAATTTATTTCCAACAGAAATGAATATTAGTGCAAACCTTACAAGCCTGTGATGTCTGTCACAAGAATAAAGTTGAAAATTGCATAAATTTGAAGAAATAATTATAATCTTTAGAGAAAAAACTTGTGAAAGAATATTGTATGAAAGATATACCTTTTTAACTTTTCCAAATGCGCACGTGAGAGCATTGTAGGAATGTATATCAAGTGTTAATCCAATCTTTTCAGCTATTGCCTCAAACGTCTCATTTGCCCGGTCAAGATCCATATGTTTGCACAACCTAATACAACACAGTTGAGAGCAGCAACTGACTTGTAAGGAGGATCTGAATTACTTAAGTTCTCCAATTGAACATAAACCTGTTATTTAATTAAGCAAGCAGCAGATAAATTATAGAAAGATCAGTATAACATGAAACAAAAAATAAATTGATTAAAGTTACAATACCTAATATTACTATACCAGGCAAAATAATACATGAAAAAGTGATCTCTTCAATCTTGTATGTTGCATCGATATAAAGGCTATGGGTGAGAGGATTCATTATTATGTGCGGATGCCGAACGCCGTCTGGAGACCAATCAGAATGTGCCACATCACCCCTTTGCTCGGTACCACGGCTCGGTGATGCTCAGTACCGCTCGGGACCGCCGCTCGATCTTGCTAACGTGGCGCATTCTGGTTGGTCTGCGAACGGCGTTCTGTATCCGGTCTCTGCACATAATAATTCTCGTGTGAGAGAGGCATATTCAATCAGGAAAAACTTAAAAAAGCCAGTGGTATAGTTCCAATAAGGCTCATAATTTGATTCGGAGACTGAAGATCGCACAAAGAGTAGAATGCTTTTTGATAGAATAGAATTGAATTATATTACGATGGACTGAATAAAGCTTGGATTCAGTTGGACTTGAATCAAATGGAGCTAACTCAAATATGATTGATGTGTTCATTCATGTATGAACATGTAGTAGAAGCATTTAATTATACTTGTATTAATGCACATATCATGAATGCAGCTTTACATGCATATCTGCATGAATGGATGGATGTATGTATGTATGTAACCAAAATATGTTTTAGGAGATAAAAACTTGATCTAAATAGCGCATGAATTATCAGCTTCAATAGAAAAAAAAAAAAGACCTGGCTTGAATCAAAATTAGAGAGCTAGGCCAAATCAAGTTGAATAGAACCATCAGATTTGGAGTGCAAACGACAGAATGACTACAAGACCTGATTGTTTCCAAAACAAACCTTTATGATGCGCAGAGTAATATGAAAGTAAATTTAAGACAAAAAAAATTCATGACAACGAAGAAAAATGTCATAATATTCGCATTTTTAAAACAAATAAAAAGAAAAATAAAATAAAACACATAAAAGCATAACTAGACTAGCAAAAGGACCAAAGCACACAGTAGTACAACTTAATTTATACATTTTGCAAGAGATATGAGCTGACAAGCATGAAAAAAGAATCGAACTACAAACAGACCAAAATCATACCGAGTCCAAAGTTGAGAATCCATTCTTGCAGCAAGCAGTAACCAACGGGCCTAAAGAAGTAAAAGGAGAAAACAACTCATTATCAACATCCTCAGAGTTCCCATAAGCTATTTCAAGCTCATTAAGGGTTTGTTTGATTGCGTAATTCCTTTTGCATAAGCCGGTACAGAAGCAGTTATTAGTAAACGAAGTTTTTCCAAAAAATCTTTAAGCAAACTATTATTTGTTTGGTTACATTTTTTTTTTTGTTGAGTACGCAAACGTAAAATCTGATTAAAATACATATTTGCCATCGAATAATCAGTAAATATTTTAGAGACGACCCAGATCTTCATCGTATCTTCAATGATGATCAACTTCCGATGGCTCCAATACCGCGACGGCACGCTGCACCATAATCGGAATCACTTCGTTTGATTCCAAGGTGACCGGTAAGGAGAAGACGCAATCCCATATTCACTCTCTCAAACCTACGGACCACCGCAGATGCCGGTGAGAAACAGTGCTTATGCTTTGCGCAGCACTTGCCGAAAGCATGCAGTGCTTTTCCAACAACAATGACTTTCTTACATGAATACTGTATCATCTTAAAACATTTTCAGATTCACCATTTTTGTTTGCCTTGATTCTGTACGAATTCCGTTTCTCTTCGTTGCGGCGGCGAAGGCTGAGAAGACGGCCTTGCTCCAGCGGAGCTATGGTAGCTCGACATGTGATTCCAGCAAGTGAGAGTGACTTGATGATTCTATTGATTGCTGGAGAACTGTGCTAATTTGTTAACATGTATTGTGAGAGAGCTTGGGATTCCAGCAAGCCGTTATATGTTGCCTCTGCCATGAACACCTCTATGTTGAGCAATTCCTTTACCAGGCACCATCTAAAAACCATTGGTGAGCTTGGTGCGTCTCTTCTTCCTCCCATCACAAAAAAGCTTGTTTACGGCGATTATGGCAATGGTGCGATTTCCGAACCTTCTGTGATCTATAAAACAGTAAGGTTCTCTTTCAATGTACATCTGCAGGCTATACCTTTTAAAATAATTTTTTTCTTTAAATACACTGTTTACAATTTCTATTATACTTATTTTAAATATGATAATATTAGGAACACCATTAAAAAATGTATATACCAAAAAAATAAGGTAATCGCAGCACAAATTTTGAGCTATCGTGGTGATTTTAACCGCCACAATTTTCATTGCAGCGGTTCTAAAACCGCTACAAATACGTTATATTTACTCTGCGCTACAACGATATTCCGCAGCGGTTTCAGCAACTATTATAAATCTTAATATTTTGAATTAACCATGTAAATGAATGTGAACATAAATGAAGAGAAGCATATAAGATTATAATTCAATAAAAGAAAAGGATAATGATAAAAATAAAAATCTACATTTAGATAGACTATGATGCATATATTTGAATGTTAAACAATTACAAATATATAGATAGTAAGCTAAGTGTGGAAATATAAGAACATTAAGATGAGAATAATAAGCTTCCAAGCTTATTATGGTGGTGGCGTCATCCCCCCTTCTTAGCATACCTTTTTTTTTTTTAATAAAAACTCAAAAGGGCCTCCGCATTAATCAAGAATATGATACAAGTACATAAAAGACAAAGAGCTTGCTAATCCTCCCAAGAGCAATAATAAAGAAGGTAAGAGGAATGAACCAAAAACCAGACTACAAAATAAAGAGTAAATCAAAATACAACATTAGAAGATGAAAAGATCCTAAGATTCGGGCTCATGAAAGAAGCCTCGCACACCCGCCCCCAAGCCAAGCAAGGGCCTCCACTTGAGGCTGCAAAACATGATCCAAAACAAGCCGCAAAAGCCCACAAAAGTCTCCCAAATCATAAGATTAATGGCCACCAAGGTTATCAGCAAGCAAGCAAGGGACCAAGTGGTGGCACTTGATATATTTCATATTAAAAACAACAAATAGTATCGATTATGTGGTATTAAATAAAAAAACTAAAAAAATAAATAGTACAAAATCACCATCATCATTGATTAGGATGTATTAAATAAAAAGCTAAAAAATATACAGTATAAACTACAATCAACCTAGGAAAAGAACAACAACAAAAGCTATGTACCAAAAAGAAGTAATTAAATGAATTGAAAATAAAAAATCTTCATACAAGTGACATGACATGATTATATTGAATTCTAAAACCTATATTGCTTGCAGTCAGAATTGAATGCGGAAGGTATTAACCAAAAATACCGTAATCAAGTAAGTTAAAATGAGAAGAGATACCTTCACAAGAAGACATTTTAAGTCTTCAAGGGAGATGGAGAGAGAGCGATGAAGAAGGAGATCTTCAAGGGAGACCAAGAGAGTTAGCAATGGTGAAGATGAAGAACTTCAAGACAAAGCAATGAATCGAAAATAAAAAAATCTTCATATGAGTGCACATATGAATAATTGCTAAATTGATTTTAAAATGCAAAAGAGCTATAATTTTAACAATGAAGTTCATTAAAAAAAAATCAATCAAATATGATGAATATACAAAATTCTAAAAGCCATCTTGCATGTAGTTAGACCTAATAAATATATATTTCCTCTTGAACCGCTTTGTAGCAAAAATCAAGAAATTAAATACTAAGGTAAGCTTTAATTAATATGCTCCATATCTCCATTGCTGATGTAAGTCAACATCAAAAGGGTGGCCAGTGGCCACCATCTCATCGAATAGTTGGAGGGAAGGAAAAATTGGAGTATTACAAGTGTTAGGTTTTAATTGTCCTACCAAGGGTGAAGACCTGCAAGCAAAGAGTTAGCAGTAACCGATTGGAGAAGAGAAGCAGAGGAGCTCAAGAATGAGATTTCATTTCATCTTATTTCAGCTGTGCTACAGTGTGATTTATATAGAGAAGAACTGAGAGCAGAATATTCTTTCCATTAGGCACAGTACCGGGAGATCGGGACAGCTGTGGTGGCCTGCTGCCGGTCAGGGAAGGTGGAGCTGCCGCGGTCAGATGTCAGGCTTAGGCTTCGTTTGGGATGGCTTTTTTATTGCTTTCTAAAATGGAGTTTTAGTACAAAAATAAAAAATTTTGTAATAAAACTCCGTTTTAGAGAGCAGTAAAAAAGTCGTCCCAAACGAAGCCTTAGTGGCCACATGGTTGTGGTTGCTTACACCAAGGCTAAGGTATTTAAACAACAATAACAAGAACGATAGTTTATTTTGACAATCTTAAAAGACTTACATTCTTCAGGAGCAATAAAATGTTCTTCTATTATTGACTTACATTCTTCATGAGCAATAAAATTTCAATGGATAGATCAAAATAAATATTTCACTTGTGCACACAGCCATTTATACGATATTTGTGAGAAATAATTTAATGAAGAAGAGAAGATATGACAACCATTACAAAGGTAAATTTCATATATGAATTAACATAAATTGCCTCTCATTAAAAATCTTGAACATTAGAAACCGGGTAATATTTGCCATAGGATAGGAACATAAAAGAACCACGAATCTTCACTTAATAATGTGAACAAGGAATCTCATAAATTTAATTGAGGATAATTGTAACATAATATTTTGCAATCATTGAAATTTTAAATCAACAATTTTAGATAAAAATGAAAAGATAAGATCCTATATTAGGATAAATAGCACAAATTCTACCAGCATTAAAAAAAGAAAAAGATTACAACAAAACAAAAATTTGTATAATTCACTAAGTTCTATACCAACAATGAATGAAAACCTAGCCCAAAGTTAAAAACCCGGAGTGGGGCTTACGCTTTAATATCCAAACTTTCGATTACAAAGTCCTTAGAAGATCAAACACAGGATGTTTCAGAAAATTATCACTATAAGCACCAAAATTGCAAGCCAGTCCGCACAGGCATTACCTTCACGATAAATATGGGAGATAGTAACATTAAGCAAGGAGAGAGCCATTCTAATTTTTTTGATAGTGTAAAAGTCCTGAGGGAAACAAACATCATTATTAGAAATAATATGAATAACAAGAGTAGAATCAACCTCAATGTTAACATTCTGTAAACCCATCCTCAAACAAACTTGTAAGCCTTGATACAAACCCATCAGCTCAGAAGTTAAAACAGAACAAGAAGGCAGAGGACCAGAGAAAGCCGCAATGGGATTACCTTGAGAATTTCTGATAATACCACTCATCCCAGCTTTAGTAGCATTAACAGAGCTGTTAGTATTCAGTTTGCCATAAGGATCATAGGGTTTAGCCCACCTCACAATAAGATCCCTATTAATTCTAATGCCCTCATTATGAACCCCAAAGTGATCAGCCAAAAAATGGCTGTTAGTAAAGTTCTTAATAGAAATGTGTTAGACCGGTCCACTGGACCGGTCCAGCCGGTCCGCACGGGACCGGCTCAGACGCGAAATGTCGCGTGACCTCACTTTGGATATAATATGATTAGCATTCATCTTAATACCCAAATGCTTAGACTCATTTCTACTATTCCAGAGATACTAAATGATCACAACAGGAAGTAAATTATGAATATGACCTTTGCCATCAGAAAACCAAATTTTGAGAGTACTAGCCAACTCTAAATTAGCATTAAACAAACCAATACCAGGCAAATTAAAGAAATGAGACCAAACTTTACTAGCAATAGACCCATTCAAGAAAACATGTTGTAAGCTTTCAATGTTGAAACAAGATTGACATTTAAAAACAATAATAAAACCTTTTTTCCAAAGAATATTATCAATAGAAACAAAACCTTTAAGGAACCTCCAAGCAAGCAGGGAATAGGATAAAGGAATTGTATTATGCCAAAGAGATTTAAAGATCGCAGAGCATCACCTTTAATTCTAGTCTCCTCCCAAATTGTTTTTAAAATAAAATCATCAGAGGGAGACAACTTGAACATAATTTTATCCTTGACTTGCAAATGTAAAGGGATTTGAATAATTTTCTCAATGATATCATAAGGAACCACCTCCTGTAGCTTAGGAATAATACAACCCCCATTGTAAATGAATTCACTAACTCTAGTATTAACAATAGAATGAGTGTTAAGGTAAGTATCAATAGATTCAGTACCCAACCAATTGTCTTGCCAAAAAGCAACCTCCCCAATACCAATACCCCATTGGATGTACTTCTCAACTTCCCATTTAATCTTACACATTCTTCTCTAAACCCGGGAATCCGAACTTTTATAATGGCAGGCCATAGGATTAAGATTCTTACAATATTTCACATTCATGAATTTAGCCCATAAACTGTTATTAGATCTAAATGAAAACCAGAGTTTGTGAGAAAAAACATAAGCAGTGTCAAAAATAGACTTACAACCAAGCGACCCTTCATTATAAACATCACAAACTTTTCTCCAAGAGGCCCAATTGATACAAGCTTTATTATTAGTGCCCCCCCAGAAAAATTTGTTAATCATCTTCTCCATCCTCATACAGACATTAGCAGGAGGTTGCAAAGTGTGAAACAAAAAAATCGGAATAGAGTTTAAAACACTTTTTATCAAGGTTAATCTACCACCAAAAGAAAGAAAATTAGAAGACCAATTTAGAAACATTTTTTGGAAAGTAGTAAAAATATTATCAAATAGAAAAACCTTTTTTCTATCTTTAAAGAGAGGAGTACCAAGGTACTTAATAGGAAGAGAAGACTGGTTAAAACCACACTCTTGTAATGCCATTGACTCTAGTGTTATTCACAGAAGAACCAGTAATAAAGTTGCTCTTCTCCCTATTTATAGAGAGACCACTAATAAGCTGAAAAGATGATAAAAAACTAGCAAGACATTTAACATTTTTAATCAAAGCATTAGAAAAAATAATAAAGTCGTCAGTAAAGCTAAGGTGAGTAATAGGAGGACCACCAATAGTACGAAAATTAAGCATAGGGTGCCTCCTATAGAGATTCTCAATCACTCTAGAAAGATATTCCATAGCTAAAATAAAAAGAGAAGGGAGGGGATAAAGGATCCCCTTGTCTAAACCCATGCTTAGAAGGGAAAAATCCGTGATTATTCCCATTGATAATAAGAGAGAAAAAGCAGTTCTCAATACTATTCTTGATAAGCATCAGAAAATACTCGTTAAACCCCATTGTAAAGGAAATCCCACTTCAAATTAATTATATTAATGTAAATTCAAACTCAAAACCAGAAAATGTATAAAATTTGCATTAAAAATAGCAATCAATAGTATTGATTAAGAAGTATTAGGAAAAAAAACTAAACAAAATAAGTTTCATAAAACCACACCCAACCTAGATCGCATTAAAAAAAACTAAAAAAAATAAAAGATTGCATAATTAATAAAATATCTGATCCTTTTATGGCGGAAAGAAAGAAGAAGAAGACGAAGACGATGAAAGAACAAGGAGAAGGTAAAAAATCCGGGATGGTCTTAGCTGAGGCTTTTCCTCTCCAGTTTACCCACTGATGCTAAAATATAACAAGCATACAGATTAACTTTTAATGAAAGTTGAAAAAAAAAAAACTTTCACAATTCATCATTTACCTTTCATGTATTTGGTTTGCAAGAGCACAAGGCGAATCAATTGCGGGTGGTTGGCCGGGGTGAGGAATTGCAGAGGGGTTGAAATGGCTGGTCATGCAGGTAGGTGCTGGTGGGAGAGACCAATGATAGTGGAGCGTACAAGGGTAGAACGACGTGCAAACTAAAACAGGGTCACGACTTCGATTGAGATGCTTGAGGCTATGAAACAAATCGAGGCGAAGAGGCTTCTTTAGAGGAGAATAGTCAGAGAATCGCAAGGAGAAAAAGATCGTTACCTTTACGGCGAGCTCCCTTCGTGACTTCCGATCAAAGATTGCTCCGAGCTCATGTCATGACTTCCGATTCACAGGAGAAGGAGAATACACATTAAAAATGTTGCAATAGAAGAAGAGAATAAGAAATGGTAGACAAATAGGCGAGTAAGAAAAAGAGGGAGGGAGAAGGCGAACCGGAAACATAGGAAAAATGGGGAATACTATCATTAATATACATGAATTTGTAAATATTCATGTTTACAAAGAACCTCATTAATATAATTATAATAATTAAAATGGAAGGGTGAGATTTGATTTGAATAATTAAAATTAATTAAAATGAATGGCCAAGATTTAATGTGGAAGGAAATTCAAGGTTTGGCTTAGGAAAAAGAAATCAAATTCCAATAATTTAACAATTGGAATTGGAATAATAGAAAATCTAAACTATCAATACTCTTTTTTTTAATTTAATAATATGTTAATACAAGAGTGATTATATATAAGTAATAGAGTAAAGTATTATATGAATATGTTACAAAAGTTTGAGTGCTTAATATGAGGATATTTTACAATAATAATGATTATAAAATTCTACCATAAATATTAGACATATTCTAATATTGATATGATAATAAATAATTAAAATTAATTCTAATATAAAAGAGGTACATGCTCTTAATTTTTCTGTGTTGAGAAATGTTCTCATGGTTTCTAGAGGGAGGGTCTTGATTGGTTTCATTAGAGGTGCAAACGGGTCGAGTTTATCTCGAGTCATGCATAACTTAAGCTTGGCTCGTCGTAATGGCTGTGAGCTCGCGGGCAGCTCATGAGGCGTAAGGTCGGTTCCAATCCCGCTTTCGCGTCCAACAAAATACTTTCTTCTTTCAATCAGGCAATTTAAGAATAGCCAAAATTTGAAATTTTACTGAAAAAACTATGGTCAACATTAAATTTCAGCAATATATTAAGTCCACGTTTCAAAAAAAAACAAGACGTATAATGAAGCAAAGAACAACTTTCTTGTGATGAAAAGATCAAATATTTTCCTACCACATGATTTGAACATAAATACAACGAAATTAGATATTATACGATGGGAATGCAAAGTAGAATGTAGCAACATGCAACATAAATATGAGAGTTGGGAACATGTTGAATTAAAAAGAAACTTCAATTGATGAATACCAAAGTCAATGCCAATTATAAACAAATGTCGATGTTATTTAGGTACAATTAAAGCTTCAGAAAACAAGAGATAAAAAGGTAAAACGCTTCCTTAGAACTGCAATATAACTTGTCACAATCTTGATTCAAAATAGGCATTCAAAGATCAGGTACAGGCATTTAGGTCGTCAAAAATAAATATGGCAATCAAAGAATATAACATTAGACCAAAGATAACGACCATTTTTAAGTATCTGGTATGAATATAACATTTGATCATAGATGGCAGGACAATTTTTAAATATTTGATATCAAGTCATTCATTTAAGATAATATATGAAAAATCTCTATATAAAGTTTCTTAAAGATATATCATATATAAAATAGTCCTCAATTAGCATAGGAAAATAGTGATCTTAGAAACATAAAACCTCTCAACCATAGAGTTTCAAAAAAAAAGAAAAAAAAAATAGAAAAGGAACAATAGAAAAGTATACATATTTAATTTTTAGAAACCGAGCAAACAATGCTATGCACAGAAAATAACCAGTTGGATTCATTTGCTATCACAGTATATAATAAGAAAATAGGATCAAAAATAAATGAAGGATATATCAGCCATACCTTAAACTGCTTAGTCACATCCCTTATTAATGATCCAGAAACTTCGATCCAAGCCTTTGAGAACAATGAACAAGCCGACAACACAAAAACTATGTAAAAAAGAATATTGAGTGGATTTGCAGCCTTATCTGCCAGCCAAACTATACCACAATTCCAACAAAAGGACCACATAAATAACATGAAAAATAAGGCTTAACAGCAAAAAAAGTGTTGCATTTTGTATGATCAACAACAAGATGAATACATGATAGCAAGACATGAAATACTATAATACCTTGGACCTTGCAGTTGTTCAGCAGAAATAATATCTTAAAAAGTCAAAGAAACTTTTGAGGAAAAGCGCACGTTGAAGCATCGAAAACATGATTTTGATAATACTAACAATAGTTAGTCGTGATAGTAGTAATAGTATATATATATATGAAATATCGTATGACACCACTCTCTCGCTCATTATTTATTCAGCCAATAACGTCTCAGCTGCCGAAGTATCACCATACCCGTTGGCCTAATATCAAGAATAGATAAGGCAGTGGGCAAAGCCCAATTGGTGAATTGGTTTCTTGACAATAAAAAGTATATAACTTTCAGATAAATGCATCAAGAAGCTAGTGAAATGGAAGAATCTAGCTTCCGGTTCCAATACACATCAAGCGTGCTTCCCTGAACACAACAAGATAGCCTAAGAAAATAATAACTCAAATTAAATCCAACATTTTAATGTGCCAAACGAAATCATCTCTACTACTAACCATTATTAATCAAATCAACAAAACTAAATTCAACCAAAACACATTTCAATAAGAAAAAGCACAACAATAAAAAATGGAAGCTACAATCAACTTGTCTGTTACCTTGTAGGCATCGAAATGATCCCTCTTGATCATATTCCCCATATTTGCGAACATGGAGATGGTGAGGAAAGTGCCGAAAATCTGTCTCAGATCCACAACAGCTTAATCTGTAAGCAAACTCGATTGTTAACCTTTGGGGTGAAGCTAATGATAAAGTAGATCATGAGGACCCAGATGCATGGAGGACCACACTGGGCTCCTTGGATTGACGATGCGAGTCGACGATGCGAGTCGTCCGACCCTATCTACTGTTCTGCACACGAGATAAATATTAAGAATGAGAGAAGAATTGTGAGGAGGAGGAGCCCGATGACGTCTCATCTTTCGCGTGAAGAAACGAAGAGCCGGAAGGAAACGCCAAGGAGTATTAAGCAGTAGAATGAGGGAAGAGGAGGAGCCCGACGCCTCATATCCCGCGCAAAAAAACATAGGGCTAAAATTAATGCAGCATTAACGAACCTTTTTTTTATCATTATTGGAGTGATTTAATAGAAGAGAGGTTTAAATGAAAAATAAGATTTAATTACAATCGAAATAATGCACGGCTTTAATATAGTCAAAAATGAAGCCACCTTTATGCATTTAATTTAATTGTTGTAGTATAACATTTGATTATAACTAGTAAAAATATAGTCAAATCCATTTTATAAATAATTAAAGCAGCTGCATTAAAGCCGTTAAAATTCCATGTACTTTTATATATAACCGTTAAAATTTTATGTACACATTTCAACCGTTAAATTTTGATTAAAGTAACGCTAAGTCAAGAATTTATTAAATAGAATAAATATTAAAATTAAGTTTTAAAATTAATTTGGAATGAAGTCTACATAAAGAGCATTAAATTATATAAGTATTAATCGAATATTCGTCGCTCCGCTAGAGTTTTTTGCTCCGGGTGCTCCCTCGCCCTACGGGGGGTTTTCTCCCGGCGACCTCCTGGCTTCAAGAAAGTTTTCTCATTTTCCTTCTTCCTCTTGTATTTGGAGTAGTTTTTTGGTTGGTTTTGTTTTCGATTTTCGCCGGCTGTGCCGGTATGCCGAGTGCTAACTCCAGGACCCTGGATTTTTCGGTGGGGGTTCTCACTCTCGTTCTTTTCTTGAAGCACTTGCTGGTTCCAAGAATTCTTTTCCGGATTTGCATGCTTCGACCTTCCGTGGATTACCTTATTTGTGGATTTCCAATGAAGAAATCGACGAGCTGGCCGCCCCTTTTCAGTTCTCATTAATTGGCTTTTTCCCCTCCAAAAGGCCTTCTCTAGAAGCTATTCGTAATTTTTTTTTTCAATTTAAAGCTTAAAAGTGAGTTTTCTGTCACTGTTCTGGACCCCTCTCATATTTTGACCAAGCTTTCTATTGATCTAGATTATTGTAGGGTGTTCTGTCACCGCGCTTACCTTGTATATAACTGCTATATGAAATTAACGAAGTGGTCTCCTAGATTAGATATCGGTGTTGAGTCTCCGGTTATCCCGATATGGATTTCGTTTCCTTGTCTTCGGCCTCATTTCTTCGCTCCTCGAATTCTATTTGGGCTTGAAAAATTGTTTGGCAAGCCCTTGAAAATTGATGAAGCCACAGCTGTCGGTACCCGTCCATCCAATGTTCGGGTGTTGGTTGAGCTAGACATTACCAAATCTTACCCTAAACAAGTTTGGTTAGGTTCAAAAGCTTTAGGTTACGTTCAAGAGGTAGTTTTTTATGAGTTTCCTCAGTTCTGTGCGGGTTGCAAATGTATTGGGCATTCCTTGGGAAATTGTCGTCCTGTTACGTATGTTCTTCCGAATGTTTCTTCAAGCCCTTTAGCTAATTTACCCCCTCAATGTGTTGATAATGTTATTTCAAATTTTGATCCTACTGATGTAGAGGTTTTGGGGGGTGAGCTAGCTAATACTGAGAATATACCTAAAGTTTTACAGACTGCATTTTCTCTGTCTGTTTCCCCTGTTGTTGAGGGAGGCTCTGGCCAGTTGTTTGATGTTAACTCTATTGGGTTGCCTGGTGCGGTGTCCGGAAGCCTTCTGGCTGTTGTTCAGGTGCCAGAAATTAGTGTGGTTTTGGGCTCTTCTCCAGTTTTGGATCAGTTGGATCCCGAGCCCCCTTTGTTGCCTGGTTTGGATGATGCGGCTGTTTCTGAAGAGAGATTGAATGTTTCTGGGGGGTTGGGTGATTTGCCAGTTTTGGGTGTTTTAAATGGTTGTGAACGGCTACAGAATGTTGGTGTGTCTGTGGCTCCTAATGAGGTGTGTGGTACTTCAGGAACGTTGATTAATTCTCAAAATTTAGTTAATGTGCCTGTGAGTCTTTTGGCTTCGCAAGCTATGATATACCAGTTGGGTGGTACTTCAGGAATGGATGTTCGATCCCATGGTGATGGGTTGCACTTTTCTTCTGAATATGAATCGGAATTCAAATTTCTACGGTGGTTCGGATCCTGGCAACGAGTTTAAGCTGGTGCGTGATAGACCTCTCAATGTTGCTTCTAGTGGGAAATTTCGCGGTAGAGGCGGTAGAAGAAGATAATTTTGTTTCATTTCTGTTTTTCCCTTCTGAATTTTCGGATTTGCTTATCGGCCGGATTTGGTTGGTTGGAGGTTTGCGGGCTATGATGTGCTGGGGCTCGTATCCCCTTCACCTAGCTAGTGGCAACCTTAGGTGTTTTTCATCATTGGCTTGGTTCGATCAGTCGTTTTATTCATCTAACTGGATGGTCTTGCCTCGACTTTGGGGATGCTAGGCGAGCCCCGGCATTTACTGAGGCCCTCTCTTTGTAGGGTTTATCCTTATTTTGTTTTAGGTGTTTTCTCTTAGATGGTGTATCTTTCTTTTATTGTAGTTGTGATCTTATTGTTGATATATATATATATATATATATTATATATATATTATATATACTTAATATATATATATAATATATATATATATATATATAAGTATTATTTTTTGAAATAATTATTATTTATATTGTAATGATAGCCAAGATAATTTAAGAAGAAATAAAATAGGATGAACCAAGATTTACTAAGAAGAAGAAAATTCAAGCCCCTTTTTAATAGTAGATAGAATAGTTAATAGATTTTAAACAATTAAAATAAAATTTGAATTTAATTATTAATTAACGTAGAACAATTACGTTATGACCTTTTATATTATGATATAATTTTTAGAATTATTTAATATTTATAATATAATGAAAGGTTAGAATAATATTTTAAGAATTGAAATGAAAGGTCATGATTGAAAAGTTGTAATGGAGCATTTAATTTTTAGAGATACGAAGTTTTTATAATAAACGTTGTAGATTAATTTAAAATGTATAGATGAAGGATACAGATTTGCTATGGATGGATTCTCAAGCCACACTTATATAGTAGTATACTAGTATAGATAACATAGATTTCTTTGCTATGTATGGTGTGCGAGAAAGTCAAGATCAAATTACCCTTGGATGGTAAGAACCAAAGCATGCTAGCGAAGAATGACAAGGATGTACCAAAGAGCAGTCATGAATATATTGTTGCTTGGACTATTAATTCTAGTGAATTAGCTGCATCAACACAAAATTTTAGAGCCGATTGTCTCCTCGGAGAGGGGTGGCTTTGGTCGAGTATATAAATGAAGTTAGAAAGTATTAAGCATTTATTTTTCTTATTTTGGATCTTAGTGGTTTAGTCTCTTAATTATAATGATTTTTAATTATTTATTAAGTCAATTAAATCTAAGCATCAATATATCAACATAACATCAAATAGTTAGGACAAAGTTAATCATTGTGAAGATGATCAAATAAAAATGCTACTAAATAGAAGCTTCTTGCATAACCTAGTCAATTTAAGATCTGAAGAAAGTTTATGTATAATGTGAGGGTTCCCAACCAATTTATTTTTTTACATCAATATACCATGTGTTAGAAGACTAAATTTGTTAGTCAAAACTTTAAAAAAAAAAAAAACATTAAGATAAATAATCAAATCAATTGGCGGGTAGGCAAACAAGGTAACTCATGATAAAAATTCTAATATTTCAAAGCAACACTGATACTGTGAAAGAAATTTGATATCAGCGATGGCAACATACATATAAGTCGTAGACAGTGAGTGATAAGGATGTCTTCAAGTGTTAAGGATTGCATATTTTTATGAAATATATAAATAAATAGTTATACAAGTTGAGCAACACGAAAGCCTTCCAACTGATGTAATAAACAAGGAAGAAGGAACTCATACAAGGTCAAAGTTACAGATAAAATTAACGAAGAGATATTTTCATATGCAAGCATTAAATTGGTCTAGCAAACAAAACAACTGACCGATCCTGCAATACCTATGGACTCAGGTGGCAGCATTTGCCTAGATAAGGCCCCATTGCTCATGGAATCTGATTTAA